AAAAAAAACGCATAAAATTTGCAAAATCTCATCGGTTCTTTATTTGAAACGTTAGATTGGTCCATGACATTTACTTTTTGAAGATAATTTCATTTAAATGTTGACCGCGGCTGCGTCTTAGGTGGTCCATTCGGAAAGTCCAATTTTGGGCAACTTTTTCGAGCATTTCGGCCGGAATAGCCCGAATTTCTTCGGAAATGTTGTCTTCCAAAGCTGGAATAGTTGCTGGCTTATTTCTGTAGACTTTAGACTTGACGTAGCCCCACAAAAAATAGTCTAAAGGCGTCAAATCGCATGATCTTGGTGGCCAACTTACCGGTCCATTTCTTGAGATGAATTGTTCTCCGAAGTTTTCCCTCAAAATGGCCATAGAATCGCGAGCTGTGTGGCATGTAGCGCCATCTTGTTGAAACCACATGTCAACCAAGTTCAGTTCTTCCATTTTTGGCAACAAAAAGTTTGTTAGCATCGAACGATAGCGATCGCCATTCACCGTAACGTTGCGTCCAACAGCATCTTTGAAAAAATACGGTCCAATGATTCCACCAGCGTACAAACCACACCAAACAGTGCATTTTTCGGGATGCATGGGCAGTTCTTGAACGGCTTCTGGTTGCTCTTCACTCCAAATGCGGCAATTTTGCTTATTTACGAAGCCATTCAACCAGAAATGAGCCTCATCGCTGAACAAAATTTGTCGATAAAAAAGCGGATTTTCTGCCAACTTTTCTAGGGCCCATTCACTGAAAATTCGACGTTGTGGCAGATCGTTCGGCTTCAGTTCTTGCACGAGCTGTATTTTATACGGTTTTACACCAAGATCTTTGCGTAAAATCTTCCATGTGGTCGAATAACACAAACCCAATTGCTGCGAACGGCGACGAATCGACATTTCACGGTCTTCAGCAACACTCTCAGAAACAGACGCAATATTCTCTTCTGTACGCACTGTACGCATTCGTGTGGTTGGTTTAATGTCCAATAAAGTAAACTGAGTGCGAAACTTGGTCACAATCGCATTAATTGTTTGCTCACTTGGTCGATTATGTAGACCATAAATCGGACGTAAAGCGCGAAACACATTTCGAACCGAACACTGATTTTGGTAATAAAATTCAATGATTTGCAAGCGTTGCTCGTTAGTAAGTCTATTCATGATGAAATTTCAAAGCATACTGAGCATCTTTCTCTTTGACACCATGTCTGAAATCCCACGTGATCTGTCAAATACTAATGCATGAAAATCCTAACCTCAAAAAAATCACCCGTTATGTTACTTGCAGTTTAATTGACAGATCTTCCTTGTTTTTTGAATAGTTATGTATAAGTGATTATATCATATTCCGATTGATATTTTTACAGTGTTTCGTGCTTTTCTACGGACATGTAACACGGTTTTTGTGACTGCAAAAATATCAATCGGAAGGTAATATCACCTATACGTAATAATATTCAAAGCCTTGCAACTAAAATTCTGATAACATAAATATCTGTTGAAATAATGCGAATCTCCAAAAATTGCCAAAGTTACATAGTTGGTACACATGGGAGAAATTTTTTCTATATATTTACCGAAATGGTTTTTTGTTCGGAAATAAATCGATCATCTAAAAAATGTTGGTTAGCTCGGAGATTTTCACTCTGTTATTTGGTCTTATTAACAGCCAACAGCGTTTCCATTGTTTTCTTTATAATTTCCGCATGTAGTTCATTTGCTGTTTGCTCGTCCTGTGCAGAAATATCCCTCATCTGCATTGCCATATATTGCCCGAAAACTGTCCATTTGTCATCTTTTTGTTCAAGCATTTTTATTGCTGACACTAAAATGTCGTCTGGCGATTTATTACTCGATGTACTTGCATTTTCATTAACACTGGATGTCTGAGTATCATCGTTTGAAATATCGACTTCGCTGTCCAACCTCAGATTTGACTCTGATGTTGTGGTTTTAGCACGGTCATGATTATAATAAAATTTCATCGCAGACCAGAACGGCCAGTGGGGTTTTTCGATTGCGCCTTGACCAGATTTAGTTGCATATTTTTTTTTTATATTGTTGTAGGAGATCTTAATATTGCTCCATTTCGCCTTGCATTCATCCATGCTGTGAACAACTATTTTTTCCTGAATTTGCTTCCATGCATCGTCCTTTTGTTGGCGATTTTTATAGTCGCTAGAAGAATATTCCCATATGCATGAATGAACTTCAATGGCGTTAATTAATTTAAAGATGTTCTCCTGTGTCCAAGCTGTTGTTACATGCGGCCGTTTTCTCTTTTTTTTCTCAGAATCTTTAATTGGTGTTGATGTCGAGGCTACATCCTCACATACTGCAGTAATTAAAATCTGATCTAAATCTTCGACCGCTTCCATTGTCTATTATAAATTGCAGTTTTTAACATATATATGTACACTTATTCATGTAAAGGCATTAACTCACCAAAATATCTAACGATTAAAGTTAAATACGAGATATTTTAAAGAAACCTAATCAAAGCAACTTAATAATTGAATGTATTTTGTTTTTATTTGTGTTCACTTGAATGGATAAAACAGCTGATTTTGGGGCGAGAAGACCCAGTGTTGCCGCAGTACAAAAGTTTTTAACCAAGTATAGACGAAAAAATTACCAAGTCGAAGAAAAAATCACTACCACTTTTACAATAAACTGTTGATTGACAGTGAAAATATACTTTCCCTGAGACATAGCTGAGGTTGTTTAATCAAGCAGGTCTAATTATGCATATGCATAAGGTCTAAAAACGCGTTTTTCATTGGTTGAAGCACATTTGCATGTACTTGCCCATAACTTTATTTCTGTTTACCCGATGAAAAATACATTTCGCCGCTTACAACAATGTATAAATTGTTAATTTATCTTGAGATATGCTCGGGGAATAATAGGCAAATTTTCAAGGCGAATTGCGGCAATTGTAAACAAACTAGTCTAGACATCTACCTCGCCGGGAGCAGTTAAATATTTAACAATCGCATTATTACTACGCCTGAAAATATGCAATGCGCTACTGCAGGGGAACCGCACGGTACGCCATTTATTTAAATGGAATTAATTGCTGCTCATATGTATGTACATACTTAAGAATATACACGTAGGTTGTAAGAGAGAATAAATAAAATGTCAGTTTGATAAAATACGATACATATATGTATCAGAATCTCAATGATTTATTTTAATATCTATTGCAAAATTGTATACAGACAAGACTAAAAAGTAGAAAAACATACAATAAAAAAATACTTTTTAATATACCACGTTTCTATAAATGGACTATCTGGTTAAAACAAAATTATTCTGTAGAGTATTTTATTATTGTAAACTGAATAAAAAATATTACCACATAACAAGATAACCTGATACTCAGGCAAGCGTGAACAACCATATTATTTTCTATTTTTAAGTCCATTTATAGAAACGTGGTATATTAAAAAATTTATATATTTTATTTATTTGTGTTCTCATTGTCATTGTGCGTTTAATTTATTAGTGTAGTTTTTTT